TATATATATATATCCAGATGGCTATTGATCAGCTATCTGACAATAAAACTAGACTGACCCTTTATTTTGTTCGATAATCTCTAAATAACATGCTTTCAAAAAAGAAATAAAAAACTGAAAATAAACACGGTAAAGATATCCGAAAAAATCTAGCCGTGATATCTGGTTTAATGCTTCCAAAAAAAGACAGCCATGATAAAAAGGTAATGGATTTTGAATAATAATAGAGATAAAAAATAAAGTCATATTGATGTCTCTTGGATGAGTTTATTGCAGTACTTAAATACGAAATTTCCTTTGGAATATAATTACTTAGGAGCCCATGGTTTGCTGCCTTTTTCGACTAAACCCCCAGGAGGAGATAGCCACACTGACCAACATCAAGGTAGGCAGAGCGCTGAAGTTCTGTTTTTTGTTTTGTTTTGTTTTGTTTTGTTTTCTTTTAGTTAATTTTTATTCCTCGTATAATCTTTGTCTCTCAACCTTTAAGTGTTACCATAAAAAAGGAGAGATAGACGAAACCCGTCGATCTAACTTTCGACTTTTTCAGGTTTTTCTTTTGTATATTCAGATGGCTATTGATCAGCGCTGTGACAATAAAACTATACTGACACTTTACTTTGTTCGATAATCTCTAAAAAACATGCTTTCAAAAAAGAAATGAAAGTGAACACGGAAAAGGTATCCCAAAAATCCAGCCGTGACATCTGGTTTGGTTCTTCCAAAAAAAGACAGCCATGATAAAAAGGTAATGGGTTGTGAAAAAAATGATAAAAAATAAAGACATACTGATGTCTCGTGGAGGAAATAATTGCGAGACTTAAATACGAAATTTCCTTTGGAATATGTTTACTCAGGAGCCCATGGTTTGCTACCTATTTCGGCTAAACCGCCAAGAGGAGATGGTTACGCTAACCAACATCAAGATAGGCAGAGCGCCGAAGTTCTGTTTTTTTGTTTCTTTGTTTTCTTGACCAATTTTTATTCCTTAGGCCCAGGTGGAACACATAGTTAACCCTGAATCAGAATTTGGCTTTTTTTTTTCCCTTTATAATATTTTTTTTTTCGAAATTACTCTGAAAGAACTGCGAAAGCTCTGAGTTAGAAATACTTTTAAACTGAGCGTGAAAAAAGCGTGACGTCACAACTGTTTAAATACTTTCA